TATTTATATTATATTTTAATTTTAAAATATTTTAAAAATATAATAAAAATATTTTAATTATATTAAAAACATATTTAACAAAAATACAAGTTTCTGTAAAGGTTCTGACTGTTAGCACTTCTAGTTCTAGAATTAATAATACTTCAGACTTTCTCCAAATTAATAATATCCTTGAAAATTATAATTCTAAACCAGTATTAGAAGATAATTATCTCTTTAATAACAAATTTGCAAACATGATAGAAATAACAGAGCATGATGATGATGTTGATATACTTACATACTGCATAGACAAAGTAGAGCAATTCGTTTTTATGCAGTTTCAGAATACTGAATCATATGATGAACCTACAAAATTTGTATTCGAAATTAAATTAGATAAAGAGCTTTTAGATAGTATTGCACTTAGCCAAGATCTTGAAACAAATCTATTAGATTTGGAGAGAATCAAAAATAGCTTTGCACAACTTACTAAAATTCTTATGTTATTATTAGAATCTGAATCTAAATATTATTAAAAAGTGAGAAAATTATATATAAACTTTAAAAGAAAAGAATTTGCAGAAAGTATTACAGCATATCTCAATTGTGCATCACGTGAAGATCGAGACTAGCAAAGACCAAATAACTAGAAGGTAAAAAGGTGAAGTGAAGCTCATACTGCAATACAACGATTCTTTTGTAAAGGCAAAATTACAATTAATATGAATATAATTTAACAATGCGCAAGTATACAATGTGAGCACTTGTGCTTATATAAACATCCATTATATCGACAAATAGAATTTCTAAAAAAAGCAAAACAATGAATTCAAAGGCATCTTAATTATAATTTACAAAGTTTAGAACTCTACAGATATCTAATTGAGAATAAATTAATTAACTTAATACATACAAAAGAACAAGTATATTACTGGATATCAGTTTATAGTAAACAAACTTATATTACAAACCAAGATAATCAATCAGCTTTTATCATCTAAAGCATATCTTGAACAGCCTGAAATTGCGGTTAGAAGGTTTAAAATTCTTTCTTATTTTGATAATAATTTCATATGTGCTTTAGGATTTTCTACTCCACTGCTTAATCAAATTAGTATAGAAATGATAAATAAGATTGTAGTAGATTCTATATTTAAAACAAATCAAGAATGATTTAAATTGTTGTAAATGCTAATCATAATGGATATGGTATACTATTTGCATATTTATATTTATTAGTATCAGATAATCATGAAATAGATCATTATCCTGAAGATAGAGTTATTACCTGTATACAAGTTCTTGAAAGATTCTTCATTAGCCTTTATGAAAAAGGATTACTACCTTCATTTATACTATTAGATAATGATATTGGTCAAATTTTAGCTATTAGTGTAGCTTGATTAAAAACAAACATTTAGTTATGTTATTGCCATTTGAAATATGCCATTAGAAGACATTTAAAAGACAAAAAAAACACAATCAAATATTTATACTAATACAAGAGCATTAGAAGCTCATCATCAGTTTAATTTCATAGACTCGTCATAGATTCCAACTATATATACCACCAAAATAGGTTTTAAAAAAAACTTTATTTCGTCTCTATTAAAATTTTTTATATACAAGAGCAAATCTAATTTAGGTAGTTATGTTCTTTATAATTTCATTTCTTCAAAATAAGTATCAAAAAATTTCGTCTTTTAAGTAAAGTAAGTCAAAAACAATTTTGTCTTCAAATTTTAATTTCATACCCTGAAATCTAAAATAATTTCATCAGCATGTATAGTATAATTCCAACTAGTAGTATTAAAAGTTTATGTCCTGAAAAGCATTCAATGAAATTATTAGTATAATTAAATGATATGCAAATATGCATCTATTAATTCCAATAGAAAAAATGTTTTATAGAATTCGGTACAGATATATTACTATTGCATCTAAGAGATTTATTTTTTCTGTTATAATCGTGGGTATTGTGAATTGTGAAGATATTTTTGGTTAAATTAGTATAATAAGAAAAATTGAATGATATTTGTTTGCTCTTCTTATTCACTTGCAATGCCTTTAGCCTGAACTACTATGATTACAGAAAGTTATTGACAAGTACTTAAGTACAAGTATAAATATAACTATAATAGGTCTCAGCTTGATCACCTTACCAATATTCTTGTTAAACAACTAGTGCCAGACTTTAACCTGATGTTGACCTACTATAATATAAGTTAACATTTTCCATCTTAATAGCAGACATTTAAAAAAGATTAAGATAAGGCTATGTTTGCAGATATCATACTTAATATAAACAAAAAATATCAAGTGGACTTAGATAATTGGATATGTTCTTGCCCAGTATATATAAATAACTGTTATTTTCTTTGCAAGCATTTAGTTGCAAAAAAGAGAAAGATTTTTGGCTTACCTTTAATAAAACAACAAGATAGCATGATTATTTATTTATTTTTTTTGAAAAAAATAAGCTTCCAGCAATTTTTCAACAAAATGATTTATAGAAAATAGCTAGAACAGCTATCCCAAAAGCAAATTCTGATCTTGAGAATTCTGTTGCAGAGGGTAGTTATTCAAGTGACTTACAAAACACATCAATAATAGCACAGGAAAATAAAATAGAAGAGAGGCAAGAAAAATATATCTACTATAAAAAAAAATTTGAGAAGGCATTAGAATTGTATAAGAAAGAAATAGATAATAACAACTTTATAAAAAATTTTGATACTTTAGTAGGACCATTTGTAAAAGCAGTTGATGAATGCGAAGAAGCTTTATAGGCCTGTAGACAGCAAGGCACTCAAAAATCAAACAATAAAAAACTTGCCTTTTGGCTACGTTAGTTGATAAAATAATAATATATCCAACTTTATTACTATAATTGCTTATACTTATCTATTTTAATCCCAATTCCTAAATAATTACAATAACTACCTTGATACATTCTGTTTAGATTATTCATCTCTGCAAATTTTTGATAATAAACAAATGCTTTATTCTCATCTTTTTCACCACAATTCCATATTATCAATCAAGTTAGTATACATTAGATTATATGTATTAGTATCTTAAATAAACTAAAAATAAAAAATAAAAGTATATATATTAAATCATTACTATCAACTAAATTGATATGAATAAATTTAATATGAATAGATTATTTCAAGATAATGAACATTGTTATATTTACCAAATATATCAATAATCAAAGAGAAAAATTAATTAGTTAATAATTAAATTATTGCAAACTGCCAATAAATAAATATTATATTTACCAAATAAATAAATTTGAGAAGAAAACAAAAAGAAATTAGATTATTTTAAGTACCTTGATCGTTAAATATACTGGCAAAACAACTTGAATAAAAGACTAAGAGGTAATTTATTGTCTATATTAGCATGAGTAAGAAATTAAATTAATAAAATTTTTTTTTTCTACTTTGGCCATCTTACCAATATCCTTTATTATATTCAATTTGTTAGTAAACAAAAGCACTTCATGTATATATAATATTAAGATTTGACATCTTACAGTTATTTCTAAAAGCACTTATAAGCGACTGACTACATTGAGCAGATGAATCTACAAATAGATACATCACACTAGGTTTCAAAAAAACTTAACTATCCTAAAAGGCACCAAACTGATGACATCTTCTTATAGGGAAGCAGAAAAAAGAAAAAATACTAACACTAAAACTAAACTAAAAAGGGGAAAGGGGAAACAAACTAAAAAAAAAGAATCTGACAGGTCACAATGATAAGTCTGTGTTGGGTTTTAAAAAATTACATATTATAAGATAAAGAAGCTCTGCATCTAACTCTATCCTAATAATATATATATTTAACCTAAAAAACCTATTAAGATAAAAAAAAAAAGTTAAAACTAAACTAGAAAACCTTAAGTAAATTAGACAAAGTAATTTAAGGTAGTCTTGAAGTATTGTTAGCAGTTCACAGAAATCAAGGCACAAATCACTGTTTGTGTTGTCTCAGTTACCTGTTTTGCTACCTGCTCACATAACATCTCCTACTTTAGATAACTGCCCACATATTTGTTTACAGGTTTACTAAAAGTAAATAACGACGAAACGTCTGCATTGGAAAATCAACAATACTGACTGTTTTGGTGATTTTATATGTCGATTTTTTGGAGAGAATAAACTAGAACATCTACTTTTTGACAAAATTTCTTTGAAAAAAAATAGTGGGCCAATGAAACTTTGTGGATTCTTCTTTGTAAGTTTTACAGTTGTATAGAAACTATCTTTAGTTTTTTTAATATACTTAATGTCAACCTAATCATTCTGTGTTCCCAGAATATCTTTCTGGTTTAGATGCCGAATATAATAGAGGAGTTCACTAACAAGAAAGCTTAACCTCTACAAAAACTGTCCAAAGTAGTCCGCTCCTCAGTTTTATACTCTTGATACTTCGTTAACAACACATCTATTTGTGTAGAACCAAGTATATTATCACTCTTTGATGTCTTCTATAATGCTAACTATAGTTCGAATTTTTGGACTTGTTGATCAGAGAATCATCAGAAAGAGTTGCATATAAATCTGAATTAATAAATTATTGCAAATAGCTTAATAAATAAAATGTATATGTATAGTACTTGCTGGTTGAAAAAGCAATAAAGTAGTTAAATATTTAGATAGTAAATAGTTGTTATTATCATGACTAAATTAACAGAAATAAAGAAATATATAAATATTATTTTATTTACAATTAATATAAATAAAATAGTTGGCGAAATGAAAGGTTATATGCAATAAAAAAAATTTTTTGTGTTAATGTTAGTGTAAGAAAATTGTTAAATAGTGGTTAACTCTGATTGGCTAGTAGATGCAGATCATCATGTGGTTCGAGTAAAATCTCACTTACCCAACACTTTTTTTTGCTATAGCTAGGGTACTACCTGCAGGAAGTAGCTTAGTAGTGGCAAAAAAAAGCACAATCACGTGATCTTTGTCCAATAATATTGCAAGATCAGGTGTAACATAGTACAAACAAGAAAATTCAAAACAAACGTTCGTTTTTTCAAAAACTGCTAATAACTCAAAATTTTGCTTATGAAAAAAATTTCTTGCAAAATTTTATATTTAATATGGTCTTTAAGCACCTTAGTGCTAAACAATACATACCCTAAAGAAAGATTTTATAATTTAATACTTAGTTGTTTTGATTTTACATTACACCTAATCTTGTAATGTGATTGGACAAAAACAATCATGTGATTGCGCTCTTTTTCGGCACTACTAAGTTACTAACCTGCGGGTGGGTGGGTCACCCGGGTTGAGTTGTAGCCAACCCACGGATCAACCCACGGGTCAACCCAGGGTTGATCATGGGTTGACCCATGGGTTCATAGGTATGATTGGTTGATGTAAATCAATTGCCTGAATAACTAATTTATACATTGGACATAGCTTCTGCACCAATTTTGTCACGGATGATTCTCGATTTTGATTGGCTAACGACCGTAATCTACAAAATTTTGGCCCGCATTACATAATTGCTT